GTAGCAATCAACATGACTGACAATAAGTAGCACTAGTGATCAATGTTTAGTGCTACTTCGCTATGCTCTTTTTGCTTTGAAGCAAAAATAAAGCCGTGTACACTGCATTGCACTTTACGCTTTGAAAACATTAATCACAACAACTTTCAAAAAAATTATTTTTCCTACAACTACTTTACAACCGCCTTCATAAAAAACTACAACTAACCCAAACCGACCATTAATCTCAAGTTGGTTGTATGATTTAAATTCCATCTACGATTAGTACTTTTTAGAAATTTTATAATAATTTGCAAAGCATAGTCAAGTTAAAAAACGCCGTGGCAAGATTAGCATTCAAATATATTCCCCATATAAGCTCCAATCCAACTGTACAGCCCCATGTCCACTACTCTAAATAAACAATCAAAAGAAAGGAGAAAATTTTACATACCACTCAATTCTTATGTATATCTAAACTTCACTTTTAGCATGCATACAACCTTACGCATGCACGAAAAAATGTAATTCACTTTTAACCGTTAAAATTGTGTTATTATTATGTGCTATTAAAGATGTGGGGGAAAACTCGAAAAAGCATGTGTACCGTCCAATTATGAGTCTTTGCGAGCCGTCTTGCAAGAGCACTTATGCAATAGGCTACCTCAGTCCGAGGGCGCGATATGCCAGAAATGACCAAGATTTCTGAAAACAAAAACGACAACAAAAAATAACAAATCAGTTAGCAGAGAAAACCCTAAAATTCTAGATCACCCAATGTCAATATGATCAAATTAGCTAAGGGACTCACTTCTGATGTGCCTCTCCTTCGGCGGGAGCTCAACGTGATTGGTAGCCTTGATGATGGCAACATCCAGCTCCTGGGGAAAGTAGCCCGGTGAGAACATAAGAGATCATCCTTAATTGGCCATCATAAGCCAAAATACATTAACGAATAATGGGATAGAAAATAGGTGAAAATATATTCTAAGGATGTGTTTGACACCTATTTTATAGCAGGATTACCATGTGAATTTAGCATAAATCCATCAAACACGATTCCGGGGTCGCTAAATCCGTATGTCCTCCAAATCCAAATTTTCCTTCGTTCTAACATAAATCCAAGATTTACAAAATCTGAACGGAAGGTGGATTGAAGGGATTTAAGGAGGACAAACATGTGCCTTGTCGCTTCCCAACCTCATCTCTTCCTTTGCAGCTCGTCACATAGAGAAGAACTAAGGGTATTGCTTGCATCGTCGGTCACCTCACAGGAGAAAATCATTGCTCTCATCACTTACCACTACGCAATCACCTGACTGATCTTCCTATTTCTGGTGTTTTCACCTTTGCCGCATGTGACCTTCCTTGTCGTCGAGCGTCGCCTCTAATATCGTCAGTTCACACATCAATAGCTCTCTAGTTTGTTGATTATAAGTCTTCACACAATGTAGCATTGTCAGCTGCTCCACCAATTCATTGTCACTACTTTGATTCCAATTAGCCAAATCAGTGATAAAAATTTGTTGATATGCATTGCCTATTTGCTAAAATATATTTTACATCACATACTTATTAAGTGCATTATTTATCTTGTTGCACTAGTTTCATTTTACTCCTCTCATTTAGGACATTGTCAAGAAAATTTTTTTGCACAATTTTAACCTTCATTTTACAATATCATACCAAAAAAACTTACAATTCCCACTCAAAAAAATATGGTAAGCTAAGAATAAATGTGTTATTTGCAATCCCTCCCTTGCTTAGTGAAAAAATATGTTAAAATGAAGTTTTTTTGAAGGGTTTCTTGGCTTTGTTTAATGATTTTCATGTATTCTTTATTTATTTTCAATCCACTTCATGAGGAAAATGGTTATATTTTGTTGCTTAAGAAAATTGCCTCTTGTTTTTCAAATGAGCTTTATAACACTTTTGATGTCATGAGGGGGTGACTTAGTGAAACTGTAGAGAATGATATTGAATATCATTCGTTTTTTATCAATTGGTAGAAGTAAAATCATCATTTACCGTGTAATTGCATCAACATTTTGTAGAGCTCAATATCATTTATAATATTATTTAGAATATTTCCTTTACATTTGATTGTGATAGTTTTCTTTGGAGTCTTAACAACAGATTATCTTTTATTATTGAATAAGTAATAATTTTTTAGATTGTGTCAATAATTATTTGAAAATTTCATGTTTCATGTAATATGTTCTCCCTTATAGAATGTAGGATGAAACTAATTCTCAGATGTTTTTGCTTTATTTTGTTTCTTGACTTTGTCTTCATATAGCTACTTTGATGTTCAGTCATTTAATATTCTAAGTTTTCACATATCATATTCTCTCATTTATTTATTTACCTACATAT